TGGTAATATTTTTAAGAATATAGTTAATATGGTAAAAACAAGACAAAGTTAAATATAAAAGCTAAAGTACGGATCTCTGGGAGTTCAAGCCAGCCTGGTCTACATAGTGAGTTCCAGGACAGCTGGGGCTACAGGGAGATCCTGTCTAAAAAAGACCGGGTTGAAAAAAAAGCTAAAGTATGTTATCTCCAGATGTCTAGAGACATGTATACGTGGATGCATGTACTTTTTATATATAGAAAACCTTTTGACTCTACCCCATACTGTGTGATTATGTACATAGTTTCTTTTTAGTGTGTTAAAAAAGAAACTGACTGACTTTCTGTGTTTTTAGAGGATTATTTTCATAAGAAACATGAGTCTGAGGACAGAAAACTTCGATATGAAACTTATAACTTGATGTGGCAGCAGATGAAATCTGTAACTGAGGTGAATATTTATTATTTCTCTAATACTAATACTATAGATCTTTTAGTTATTGCTTCCCATCTTTCTAACAATTTATAGGAGTATTCATGAAAATAAGAAATATCAGTCAAACATCATCTGTTACCCCAAAGAAAATAACACCTCATGTTCCAAATATTAAGCATAGGCTCAGGTACTAGAACATGATAATTGTTAAGACTAGGAACTTTCATTGGTGACCTTTTTAAAACAATTTTTTTTTTTTAATGTACATGAGTGTATTGCATGACGTAAAATGCACAGGGAGGCCAGAAAAGGGTGATAAATTCAGTTGTTAACCACCATGTGCGTGCTAGGAACAGAACCCAGGTCCTCTTCAAAAGCAGCCAGTGCTTTTAACTGCTGAGCTATTTCTCCACCCCCTCCCCCTTTTTTTTGTCTTTTTGAGACAAGGTTTCCCTGTAGCCCCAGCTCTCCTGGAACTTGCTATGTAGACCAGGCTGGCCTCAAACTCACAGAGATCCACCTACCTCTGCCTCCCAAGTGCTAGGATTAAAGGCATGCACCACCATGCCCGGCATGGTGACACTCTTAAACTCAGTTAACAAGTTGCACAGGTATGAAATCAAGCTGTTTCTAAACTCCTCCAATTCTCTCATTCTAATACTCAGTTGTTGTGGTTTTCCTTTTCCTCCTTGTGACAGAAACTCATACTGTAGCTCAGACTGGCCTAGAACACACTGCATGTAGCTATGAAAAATATGTCCAATTTAGGAAGTTGGTAGCTCTAGTACCAACAGCTTATTCTGTTTATCCAGTACATGCTATGGATTTTTTGGTTTTGAATAAGAATTACACATGTTCCAGT